CTGGAACTCACTATGTAGACCAGGCTGGCCTCGAACTGGCAAAAATACACCTGCCTCTACGTCCCAAGTGCTGGTTATCAGTTTAGTGCAGTGTAATGTCTTTTGCCACCACTTGGTGTCACTGTTGAACACTGGTTCTGCACAGCTTGGTATTGAACTATGTATAAGTAACTAGCATGCCTGGGTCAGAATATAAAATAGTAATGGTTTTTCAAGATCATCTGGTAAGTTAGTGGTAGGGTCAAATTTCCTGACTTCTCTTGTAATATTGTCACTGTAACTGTTTTGCTTAGAAACTAGGCAATGGGGCCAGCGAGATGACTCAATGAATAAAGGTGACCTGAGTTGGAACCCACATAAAGGTGGAAGGAGAGAACCCACCCCACAAAGTTGTCTTCCGACCTCCACATGGGCACATTCACACTCACCCACATCGTGCACCACACACACACTTTTAAAGGGCAAGTATTAAAAGGAAAGTGAATTCATGTTCACTGAATACTTACCAAGCATTGTGTTGACTCCTTTACATCCACATTCAATCTCAGTCTCATTCCAGCCCAGGACTATGGGTGTGTGTTATTACTCCTATCTTCAGATAGAGAAATCAGTTCTCAGAAAGGTTCAGTAATTTGCATAAGCTACCCATTTAGACCTTCAGACCCATGTCTCCCTGGCTTTAAAGGGAGGGGCAAAGGCTTGAGCTGGGTTGGGAGACATTTTGGGCAGATGGGGAGTACAGGGGTATGAGGCAAGCAAGGTTTCCATGGAAGGCACTGGCTGACTAGTGCCCAAGCTCTGACCTGTCCTCCAGGTCAGGACACTAGCAAGCATCTTTAAAGCCAATATCAAGAGTGGGGTGGGACAAGTGACCCCATGCACTCTGAGAGTGAAGGTCTCTTCAGGGCCTGGTGCTAAGCATCTCTCTTGCCTCCTCCTAGTCCCTGGCTGTTTGAGGTTCCTTGTGGGAGAGGGAAGGAAGCTGATCAAGAGTGAGGTCCTCTGGCACTGACTTTTTTTGACAATCCCTCTCTCTTGCAGGCCCCATATGCCCACTGCCTCTTCCTGCATGAGGGCTGGCCACTGTGCCTTCGGGATGAAGTTGTGGTCCACCTAGCACCACTCAGCCCCCTCCTTCTGCGTCAGGGTGACTTTTACCTCCAAGTGGAGCCCCGGAAGGAGCAGTCAGTCTGCATGACACTTAAATGTCTCTCCTCGGACCTCCGCAAGGTGGATAAGAAGTCCATTCCTGAGTCTTCCTACTCTGTGCTCTTCACGCCAGAATGGTTGGAGGCCATCAACAGCAACTTTAAGGGATGTCCCCTACACAACTGTCTGGTGGCTTCAGAGAATGGGATCATCACTGTACCTTGGACCAGGATCATCAACCCAGAGTTTGTAGATGATAGACCCCCAGCAGTGAATGTACCTTTGGCTGCCGAGGAGTCCTGTCCCCTAGAGGCACCCCATCTGAGCAGCCCTCAAGAGCCATACCAGGCCAGCTCCCCAGACAGCATGGGGTCTGTGTCCTGGAGTTGGGATAAGGGAAAAGGGAGGGTGTCCGGGGACAAGTATCCAGGGCTGATCAAGGTGGAGCCAGGCAGACCTGGGGAGAGGGCCTTCAGGATGGACAGGGAGGCCAGCCAGGACCTAGAGGGGGACTATGTGGCTCTCCTGGGCTTCTCCCAAGAGTGTAGAGGGGTATCTGCCAGCAGGGAGATGGTGACACTCAGGGAGGGCACAGTGGAGTCATCGGAGGACAGATCAGGAACTAAAGGGATGGCTCTGCCTGGAAGAGTCCTGCCTCTCCCAGGATCCCCTGGGGGACCTCCCTTGACAAGACGGACATGTACAAAACCAGCAGGCTCAGGGGAGGGACTCTGCACTGGAGGCTTAAGGAGAAAAGCAAGACACAAAGCACGTGTTTATATGGCAGAGCAACAGCCCCAGCAATCCCACCTTGATGACCCTGAGATACTAGACTGTGCCTCTGGCCAGGTGGCAGACATTGAAGAAGAGTCAGCAGCCTCCAAGATGCAAGGGCCTCTGGGAATGCCAGAAGCCATGGTCCAGCAGAGAACTGGGCCAAGACAAGCATCCTCTCCTCGCCTGTCCCCAGCTGCCCCGGCAGCCTCTGCTTCTCAGACAAAAACAGAGGAGACCATACCAGGACATGGTAGAGCTTCCAAGTCCACAGCGTGCCTTAGTAGAAACACATCCTCCCGTGGGTCCCCTATTCCTGGGCTCCAGTTCCCCTTTTTTAAAGGACAGAGGCCATCCCCTGAGAAGGCACTGCCCCAGCATGCTGGGCCTTGGAAGGCCCTGTGTTCACTCGACTTTCCGCAGTCCTGCAAAACCCAGGCCCCAGGGAAAGGTAAGAGCCCACGTTCAGCCAGACAAGGGAACATTGTGGACCAGGCTTTCCCTGGTACAGGGGGCTCTGGCTATAGGGGACAAGGGCCACCAGGCAGGCTCAGTTTCAGAGATCTAGAGCATATTTGGAGTGATAAGGGCCAGATGTGTAGAACTAAGTAGGTTTATGTGTAGAGATACACATTCCAGCCTTGCCTCCCACTGTGTGACCTTGCCCAGACACTTATCCCTCTGAATTCAGGTCTCCCTACGTCATAGAGTTGCTGTGATGGTTCAGAGACACACTGGAAGGACGGGTCTTAATATCGCTGCTGGGCACAGAGCAGACCCTCAGTTACTGTTATCATCATCAGCTAGAAGACAGAACGCTGCCCCTCAGAGTCCGTCTCCTGCATGACACCCTTTTCTTTGTTGCCGCTCTTCCCCAGATGGAACAACTCACCCCAGAACATTTGGTCCCACCGCTGACTCAGGCCCACTATCTGGGGAGCAGGCTGGCTTCGGGAAAGCTTCTGCAGGCCCTCCAGGAAGAGGACTCAGCTTGGAGGAGCGCTCTGGGCCTAAGCCCAAAATTGGAGTTCTGGGAGCTGAGCTTCTCTGCTCTGGGATAGCCTGCCTACCAGGTTCTGGGGTCCAGAGGGGAGTGAGGGGTGGAGCAGAGCATCCTCAGATGCTGGTGGGTGAAGAGGAGGCAGGAAGGCCCAGGAGGCCTGTGATTTTCCAATGACTCACCTTTTTGAAGCCAGTCATTAAGTGCAGGATAATCCTGAGTCTGCCCATCACTAACTGCAGACTGATCCTAGGTGTATCAATCATTAACTGCAGGCTGATCCGGAGCCTGCCAGTCATTGACTGCAGGCTGATGCTGGGATGGGGATGTGGGGTGAGTCAATAACCTAGTGTAGCCGAGGGCAATTGTTCCCAGAAGGGGGCATCTATGAGCATCTGTTTCCAATACTTCAGCCTCTGGGGAAAGCAAGGGGCCTGCGCGCTGAGGGGCTCCGGGCCAGGCGCCAACATCTTCCAGAACTGAGGTGTCATCATTCCTGCTTAGTACTTACTCATCACTGTTTACTGAGTCCTGGACTCAGCACTGCACTCACTAACCTCCATGCGCTGGCCTGTGCCAATCAGGAGAGGCAGAGGAGTGCCACCCAGCACACCGTGGTGGGATTTCTAGGACGACTCACTGTAGGAATGAGGAAGAAGTGTGATGTGATCTCTGAATCCTGGAAACCTTTATTCTAGTAGTAGAAAAAAATCCAATAAGTTATTGTAATCAATGTAAGGAAAATGTCTAGGGACTGGAGAAACACAGATGATGTTCCTGGCCCAGGCTTCCAGTAGGAGAGGCCAGGAAGGCTTCCTGGAGCAAGTAACCCAAAGGCATGTAATAGGACTGGGAGTTGACCGGATCAGTGTTGGGAACAGTGTTTCAGACACCGAACAGCCCACGCAGACATCTGGGGCAGGAGAGACCGCAGTGCCCCTGGGAACTGACCCTTCCATCCAGTTCCTCAGAGAGCTCCACACCTCTGCAGGGCCCTGGGCACAGGCCTATCTGCAAATCCTGGGGTGCTGTCTACCCTTCTCTCAGTCATCTTTGTTGAAGTTTATTGCGTTTTTCAGTGGCTACAGGAGCCCCTTGTGCCCCCAACGCTCCATTCCCATTCCTGTGTGACATGTGTCACCTAGAGTGGCCATTGCAGAAAGTCAGGTTCTTTGTAACAAGTGACACCATTTCTAGCATCACCCACCAGGCAAGGGCAATGTTTGAGGCACAGGTGTCTTCTTGGATCAGTCAAAAGCAAACCAAGTAAATTTAGCTGCCTGCTGTGTGGGGAGCTGCCTGCTGCCCTGCTCCTGTTCCAAGCAAGGATGGGCAAGCAGTGCCAAGCACTGGTCATATGATCGCCATGTCCCAGGGTATTGAGTGCCTGACCCCTTTGCTACTCAGACTTGGGTCCAGGAACTAACTACATCTGTACCAACCAGGAACCAGGGAGAGAAGCAAGGCTGGGCTGGATCAGAGTGCACTTTGCAAGCTCTCAGGCACTTGGGGTTTGAGAAACATTGCTCTGCCTATGCCGATCAGTAGAGGCAGAGGAGTGCCACCCAGCACACCCTGGTAGGATTTCTAGGACAACTCACTGCAGAAGACTAGGTTGTGGCTGGAGTTCTGGAGGGTGCAGAGAAAGAAGGTGCTGTCTTGGCTGGACCTGTCGGGAGAGGGGATTTCACCAGTTGGAGAAACTAGGCAAGCAGAACAGGGTTAAGGAAGGTGCTAAAGGCTGTGCTGAGCTGGGCCATGAGTCCTGTGGGGATAGCCAGGCATATAGCCTCCATCCCTAGAACAGGAAATGGCTTGGGGAGCACGGACGGCTGGTAGTTTGTGAGAATAGTGAGCTCAGCCTACTGTGTGGGACAGGACAGAGAAGATGCTCACTGACCACAGCTGCATTCACAGGGCCTAGCAGTGTGCTGAGTGAATTCGGGAATGGGCTCATGTAATCCTCAAAGTAACCTCTTCTGCTCAGAATCAAATGTGTCTCATTAGACAGATGAAACTAAGGCTCAGAGATGCACAGACTTTTCTGGGGACACACAGTAAGTCAAAGTCAAACCAGGATGGGAACTAATCTCTGTGACCAGAGCTCATTCCAGCTTTGTCTCTTGGGGTCCCCTGTGTAGAGGAAGCCTCAAGGATAGTGAGCTACCTCTGTGTGGATGAATTCAGGAAAAGACTTTTCTCAGGAAGTAGCTTTTAAGCTGGGACTTTGGAGGATGAATAGGAGTTTGATGCTCACAGAAGGAAGTGAGGAAGGACATTCCAGGCAAAGGGATCAGTACGGGTAAAGGCCGAGAGGACCACAGAGGAGGTTCCCATGGAAGGCTCCCCCAGGGTTCTCATGGCTCACATCTGCCTTTCCTCCTCCAGGTGGTCGGGACAGGGTAGGGCGGCCCTTGCTGCTGGTGTCCACTGGGGAGGAAGCCTGGGAGGCACCATGGTGCACAGCCTCGGCCATCACAGAGCTGCTGTCGTATCTGTGCAGCGTCCCCAGGTAAGTACTGGACTTTCTGGAGCATGCCACCAAACCTCAACCTTCTCCACCCTCAGCCCTGGCCAGGCATGGAGAGTGGACAGGCCCTTCCATCATCCCAGTGTTCATAGAGCCAACAGTCAGGCCAGATGCTGGGGTAGCAGGTGAGATCTGTCCCTGCAGCCAGGGGCTTTCCAGGCTAGTGGGAGAGAGTGAGGTGTAAGAGGGACAGATCACAGACACACACAGACACACATTCAGGAACCCACAGTTCTCACCTGATGGTGTACTGCAATCAAATCGATGCTGAAGTAGATTGCTGGCCCGCCCCCGCACTTCCTGTTCAGCAGGTCTGAGAATCTGTGTTTCTAGGAAATTTCTTGGTGATCTTGAAGCTGATGGGCTGGGAACAGGCTTTGAGAGGCTCTGCTATGCCGCGGGAAGGCTGAGAGGGGAGGGCTTAATTTCATCTGGGAAGTCAGTGATGGCTTCTCTGAGGAGCTGGCAATCGACTTAACATCTCAATTATAAATATTGCTGAATAAGTCATAGAAATGAACGAACGAGTGAACGGATGAGAGAATTAATGAATCACGGGTTGGGAAGGTAGTTCAGGCAGTAAGCGCTTGCCTTATAAGCATGAAGACCTGAGTGTGAACTCCAGAACCCATGTAGAAAAGGTGAGGCCTGACAGTGCATGCATGTAATCCCAGTGCTGGGGAGGGGGACAGGAACGGCACCTGAGGTTGCATTCTGGCCTCCACCCCCCCACCCCCCACCCCC